AAGGTTTATTAGGCCTAAAGCCTAAAAATTAAAAATTCCATCCACAGGAAAATCAGTCTGACACCATTCAGTTAAGCTTTGAAATTGAAAGCTAGAAGCTGATTGGGTGACATGCACAGCTGCTCCGGGTTTTGTCTGCTCCAGTCTGAGTAAATTCCCCTCAAATTGTTTTGGGGGTTTTCAGGGGCTTTTCAGTTTGCTCTCCTGTAAAAAAAAAACAAGTATGCATTTTACTATTTGTGCGTAATATGAAAAACAAACCCTCTGGCCCCTGGTACAGCTGATACTCATGTAAGAGGCCCCCCATGCTGCCCAGACCCCTCACATGTGTACTAGCACTACCCCCCTGATGGCAGTGTTCTATCAAGGTTTGTGACTAGGTTGTAATGTGTGACCGGTGACGTGGTCACACATTTCAATGTAATCCCGCCCAGTTTTTTGGTGGTGGAATGTGTGACCGCCAATGGGTCAAGCATTCCAACACTTTCTCAGCTGTTCCAGGGCAGATCAGCATCGCAAATCATATGTGTAGGAGAACTGATCTGCCTTGGAACAGCTGTTCGGTCCTGAAATGTCACTTCTATGCGACTCTGTGAGTGCGATCTCGCATTCCACCCCACTCACAAAGTCGGATAGAAGTGACATTTCAGGACCGAACAGGTGTTCCAGGGCAGATCGGTCGGTTGCTTTGGTTGGTTGCTTTGGGCCACTGAATTCTGGTTGGTTGCTTTGGGCCACTGTATTGTGGTGTCAGTGTTTTAGTCATGTACATGGTATCAGACTTAAGCTGTCCATACACTGAAAGATTGAAAAATCACTCGATTTCCCCCATCCACACTAAAGAGCGTGGAAGGAGAAATCTACCTGTGAGCTATTGTATCCTGACAGCTGGCTCCTGCGGTTGTCAGAATATCCAAAGTGTGACTGCAGCTGTTTGGCTGTAGTCAGTGTGCAGCCAATAGTTATCCACCCGGCAGGGCCACCCATGGATTGAATGGCTGATTTAGCAGGAAACAGCCCAAATTCAATTTGTGTATTGCCATTCAAAAATCAAATGCAAGATGCTTTCAGGCATTTATTTATGAGTTGCTTTTACATGTATATTAACATATATAAGAAGAAAAGCAGCACAGACAGGCACCAAACCAGTATACATGAGCACCAAGGGCCCATGCACATGGCTTTCAAAGCCGCAGCATGAGATTCCTGTGGCAAGAACCTACAGATTCTTGTGGCAGGAATACCAGGTGTGTCCGTTCAAGTAAATGGCAGGCTGACAGCTGCCGCATCTGCCTGTGGGAGAGATGCTTTTCCCTGGATGCTATCTGTATGATTACATGTGGACAGCCACAGACCGATGCAGCCCGTCACCCTGTCGATAACATGAACGGGCACAGTGGCCACATCTGTACAGACACACCTGAGATTCCTGCTGTAAGAATCCATAGGTTCTTGCTGCAGGAATCCCCAGCCGCAACTTTGAATGCCGTGCATATGAGGCCTAACAGTATTTATGGAATAAGGCCATTATGCAATGTTCACATGATGAAAGCTTTGATTGTTTCAGAGAATCCTTGGCTCCAAAATGATCATTCTGCATAACAAAGACAAATATTGATTTCACTGAGTTTGCTCGATCAATGATATAAAATAAATGTATTGTTTTTTTTGTAGAAAACAGTAGCCTGATGTTCAATATGATTCTGAATGATTCATTTTTATTTTTACATCTAAATTGTTTTCATATTAAACTACTGTATTGTGGCCATACTGTTGGAACTTCTTGCACAGCCTCAGAGAGAAACACAAGCACACAGTCAGATATGCATGCTGCACATGGAATGGAAACAGGAAGGAAGTCACAGCTTTAAGGTGCCCAAACACCTTACGATTATCGGACGATTTTCGTATGCGATCGACTTTTCGTCCGATAATCGTATGTGTGCATTGCAGTGTCCGACCGACAGTACTGTACAATCGTACGACTTTTGAATGTTCAAGCATGTTTGAAAACTTTTCTCTGGTTACTGGCGTTTCCGTCCGTCAAAAGTCGTACGATCTACACTGCGTTTGCGCGAACGAAAATACGACAAATCAATTACCGCATTTCGTCCAGGTGCTTTTCGTTAATTACGGCTAAATTAATCTTGCGATCATCGGGGCAGGATGGGTACGAAAATCATACGACTATGCGATCATCGGACGAAAAGTTTCGTCCGATAATCGTAAGGTGTATGGGCACCTTTATGCTCTACCTTTTTCAATACAACAGATATATACCATAGATTCATAACAGAACTTATAAACACTGCCATCTAGTGGGCGAAATTGTATACTGCAGAAGTTATTGCAATAGATACAATAATGTGTATTCTAACACATACACATTACAATCTAATTTTATAATCACAGTATGATTGCCTCTATTTATGTCTAATCAGACAGGTGCTTGCACTACATACTTGTTGGTAGACCTAAAGACTATGATGCATATGGTTAGCACTTGCATTTACAAAGTATTTCATGTGTTTCCTTTTTGCAGTTTTATTGTGATGTCAAATCTTACAGTGTATGTAAATCTTAGTGTACAGGACACCAGGAATGGGTCCTGGATGGACGGTATATCCCTCCCTTGTTTAGGTGGTTGTCCCGTTAAAGTCACCTTGTATTCAGAGCCTCCATCCCTGACTACAGCCAGTTCTGGTAATGAAAGGGTTAAACCACCAGCCAGAGGGTGTGTTAAAAAGGAACAGGAAGCCAGTCAGTCGGGCTGTGTGGAGTATTTGGAACAGGACACATGGCTATGTGTGTTAAGCTGTGAAATACAGTCTGCCGAGACACTGCTGGGGCACCTGCGTCCATACTGGAACCCTCTGTGCGCAGGCTGGGACTCTAACCCTGAACCTGGGACTCTAACCCTGAGGTGGGACTTAGTATACAGGCGCTGAGCCGAAGTCTTGTGTTTGCTGAATATAAGCCATTTACTTTGACTGTTTGTGGAAATGAATAAAAGTTTATTGTCTGATACGGCTGGCTACGGGTCATATCCGCCCTGAATATTACACTAGCAATTAACTTATTGTTCCCCTTTGGCCTGGTAAATATACCATTGAAAGTGCTTTAAAGCGGTTCTAAAGCCTCCAGTTTTTTTGCCTATATCTACTGCTATCAAAAAAAACCCCGCTTTAACAGCGGTTTAAACTTACCTTATTTTCGCTGCGCGCTCCCGTCCGAGAAAACGGAACTGCTCCGGCGGCCGCAAAGCATCTTGGGGACGGGCACATGCGCAGTTCGCATTCTCGGCCGGGAGACGAGCAGAGACACAAGGTAAGTCTATGGACGCGTGCACCCGCATGCAGACACCCCCGGATCGGAGAGCCGCCGCAGCGCTGGAGGGACAGATGAAAACATCAGGAAAGAAGAAGAAGATCGGATTATGAGACATCATTTAAGGCAGGAGTAGCCAAACTCCGGCCCTCCAGCTCTGTTGGAACTACATACCCCATGAGGCATTGCAAGATTCTCACAGCCACAGACATGACTTCCGGAGAGAGATGGATCATGGGATTTGTAGTTTCACCACAGCTGGAGGGCCGAAGTTTGGCTACCCCTGATTTAAGGTAAGTGCTGATGTTAACATTGGGGGGAGGGGGGACAAAAAATTATCCTTTAATGTCACTTTAAGTGTGGTTGATTTTGTCAGAAATCTTGTGATCTGATTACTTCCTGTACTCTCTGCAGATGGAGTGGTTATTTACAGGAGGAGAGGTCTGTGTTCTTTGTAATCTGTCAGAAATAAAGTAGGCAGGGCTGACCCCACGTACCTAGGAATTCAGAGCTGTGTTGTCATGTCAAATAGGTAGCAGCACACTAGATTACTGGCTGTAAGGAACTAACACCGCCTCAGAGTCTTATACCACGGCGGGGCCGGCCCCGTCTGCAGCGTCCCGTTGCCGAGCGACGGGCGGTCTCCGTTCAGCGCTCCACTCCTCCTCCCGTTCGTCAGCTGAGCCGACGTGATAACGTGGCGAGACGTTACTAGGAGACGCTCGGGTCGGGTTTCGTCTCCGGCTCCTCCCCCGGCCACCGCTCACTGCCTACAAAACTGTAGGCTGACCACTTGCTCGGCGTTCTATCAAAGTAGTACGTCGAGCAAGCTTGCTAGGGACATATACTACACGGAACCATTGTAACACCTCTATTGATACCTGGCGCCTTCTACCTGGGATACCTGGCACCTTCTACCTGGGATACCTGGCAGTGTGGACTCCGCTCTTTCACCCAAACCGCAAGTAACCATTAGCACATGTACCCAATTAGTGCTCTGTGGAAGATAATACCAGGTGGGAAGCTTAACTACAGAGTTCTCTCTGAAGACACTGTTTATTGATTCCACTGCTGCATAGGACTGTTGTATCCAGTTGATGCTTAAGGGAGAGTATTACTCAGGATTGGGGATTATAAGTGACTCTTGTTCCAACGGTGCAATACTTTCATTCTGATACTGTGATAACCATAACCCCCTACCCTAGAGTTAGCTACATTATCATCATTAGTGAACTGAACTAGTGTGTTGAAAACTACAATTCCTATCATACCCTAATGCTGTTCAATTGGGGTTGGGAAGCTGCATAATCGATAACTGCCTATTATTGAATTGATGGTGTATGATGGGACAGGGGTTCCGACTTCACTCACTACACTAAAGTGTGACTGTGAACCCTCTTCCTGAACCGTCTCCATCTAAGCTCCGCAGCTGCGATCCCAGATACCCAGCTGAGCTTGCACGGATCCTTACACTGGCAGATAAACCGTTACTATTCTGTACTTGCAGTGTGTTTAAAGGGATAAATCATTGGGAAATTTGCATGCATTCTAGGGTTGTACAAACATTTTTTATTTTTTTTTAAATGTTGCCTTTAAACAAAAATGTAGGATTCTGATTCTGTCCTGAAGCTGAATACTATATGTGACAATGTGTATGTTTTTTTCCTTTTAGGATGCTTCTCTACTTCTGGCAATATCTTTATAGTAACTATTTCAGATTTTGGTTGAAATGGTTTCTAAGACAAATTCATGGCAAATGCGAGTTGCAGCGGATTTGTGACAGATCCACGGATGGTGCTTTCAGGACTCATAGGATAGGTAACATTAATTAAAGCTCAAGTTCAGTCTGCTTATATTTTGCCTTCTTTGCCCCCCCCCCCCTAACCCCTTCCCCCCTTCCCTCATCAACATTCTTCTGAATGAAACAAAACAAAAATGTTATTACATGGCCTATTTCAAACCCAGTCATGTCATCACTGATTTGTTGTGCTTCTCTATGCAGTACAGGGTGATTATGGCTGGTGGGAGGGGCCAGCAGGGTGCTGTACATAGCTTCCTTAAACCATCACAGCACCCTGCCTCAATACTCCTCTCAAGCGCCCACAACCCTGATGCACACAGTGGTCAGGCTATTAGTTATGCAGATATCAAAATGCCCTGAAGGGAGGGTGTCAGTCTGGAGGAATGGGTATTCCTAGGCAGGCTGCATTTGCATGCAGACTGCTCTTGGTAATAGACATGTGCGATTCGTTTCGTTCCGAATCGAAATTCAGACGAATTTTCGGAAATTCGGACATTCGGATGTATCCGAATTCCGAATTACAGACATAACGAATGCAAACGAATCCGAATTTCCATTTCCGAAATTCGGTAGCGGTAGTTCGAACGTTCGTTTCGTTTTCTTTTCTTATTCGTTTCGTTTGTTGGAGCAAAGTGACATTAGAGAAGGAGAAAAAAAAATTTTCCCCCTCAAATGTCACTTTTGCTGCAAACGAACGAACGAAACGAATAAGAAACGACTAAGAACAGAAAACGAACGTTCGTACTAACGCTACCGAATTTCGTCCGAATCCGAATTCCGAATCCGAATTGACTTTCACACCCGAATCCTGAAAAACGAAATAACACAAATCCGAATTTAAAACGAAACGAAACTAAACGAATTTTTTGGCAGTGCACATGTCTACTAGGTAATGGTCACATGTAATACTGAACCTCTATGACTGAACTGAAATTCAATAAATAAGAGGTGGAGAAGGGACCAAACGGCTGGGGAGGAGAGGGCTAGATGAGGGCTTACTGAACTTCCTCCAACTAGGAAATGAGGCAGGGTCTATCTTACTTGCTTCAACTTCTAAAACACATTGAGGGGAATTTATCAAAACTGGGGCAGACAAAATCTGGAGCAGCTGTGCATGTCAACCAATCAGCTTCTCTCTTTCATTTTCAAATCTTAACTGAACAAACTGAAGAGAGAAGCTGATTGGTTGCCATGCACAGCTGCTCCAGATTTGGTCTGCTCCAGTTTTGATAAATTCCCCCCATTGTGAGAAGCTCACAGTGTGCAGTGAAATTCGAGTATAAGCCGAGGGGGGCACTTTTCACCCAAAAAAATGGGCTGAAAATCTCGGCTTATACTCGAGTATATACGGTAAGCAATTTCAGGACAGGAGAGGAGCCGGTACAACAGTGCAAGACTGAAGGGAAGGCTGGAGTTCAGCATGACGCATCTAACAGAAAAAGTATGTCATAAAATATAAACAAGTATGAACAATTATCTGGTAGATTAAGCCAGATGTGCAGATACAAAGCCCGTGTATTAGTGAAGATGACTCCCATGCACATTCAATATCTGTGTGAATACTGGATGACAGAAAACAATCAGTAATATAATTACTTTATCAGTCTTGCAAAGTCCCTAAACTTGTGACACCCATTTAGAATTACTTTTACTAAAAAGTCAGGCAGTTTACCAACCGCTGTCCGACCATGCTCCTAGCAGGGAGATTTAAGTGACAGTGCTGGTCCCTGGGAGGGTGGGCTGCTCTGCAGACCAGCGCTGCCATACACAACAGATCACACAGCTTGCGAGCTGTGTGTCTATCTGCGGCTGCTTGTAAATAAACAGCCATGGCATATTTATTATACAGCCCCGCAGTGTGTGAGTGATCTTTTACTTTTATGAATCTACTAACTGGCATATCAGTCTGGATGTCACAACACTTCTTAAAACTCAAACTTTTAAAAACTGAGTTAATGATATTTCCTCCTGACCGTGCACCTTCCCCCAACCTTTCCCTTGAGATTGATAACACAACCATCCATCCCTCCCCTCATGACAAGGTGCTAGGTATCATCCTTGACTTGGACCTCACCTTTCTTCCCCACATCCAATCACTATCCAAATCCTGCCGCCTTCACCTTCGTAACATCTCCAAAATGAGCCCCTTCCTCACCAATGAAACCGCAAAACTACTCATCCACTCACTTGTTATATGTCGTCTTGACTATTGCAACTCCTTCCTCATTGGCCTACCTCTACACAGGCTATTCCCCCTTCAGTCTATCATGAAAGCAGCTGCTAGACTCATCCACCTAACCAACCACTCACTGTCTGCAAACCGCCCCCTCCCCCTCTGTCAATCCCTGCACTGGCAAAGAGTAAAATTCAAAATATTAACAATGATTTACAAAGCCATCCACAACTCTACCCCCGGCTATATCTCAAACCTGGTCTCAAAGTATCACCCTAACCGTCCCCTCCGCTCTTCAAAAGACCTTCTGCTTTCCAGCTCCCTTGTCAACTCCTCCCATACTCGCCTCCAGGACTTCTCTAGAGTCTCTCCCATCCTCTGGAACTCTTTACCCCAACCTGTCCGACTATCTCCCACCTTGACTGCCTTTAGACTCATCTCTTCAGGGAAGCCTATCCCACCTCAACCTAACCACTGAGCCATCATGTTCTAAAACAATTCATCTCCACACAGCTACCTCCTCGTGTATCACTGGCCCCTCCCTTTTAGATTGTAAGCCCTCAGGGCAGGGCCCTCCTTACCATCTTGTCTTTAATTGTTTTGTAATTGTAATGTCTTCCTTATATTGTTGCGCAAACTGTTGGCGCTATATAAATCCTGTATTATTATAATATATAGAATGAGGCAGCGCTGCAGGGCTGTATCATACACAGCAAAGCCCCAGACACAGCTTATCGTTCATTTATTGTAGGAAAAATATGATACGAAAATGTAATTGGTTTCTTTTTCTCTTTTAGAATACTCTTTGGAACATTCAAAAAACAAGGTAAGATCTCTTGTAAAGCTTACAGTGTGTTAACATAATACTCTATACCTTGGTTCTTAAGATTCTGCTTAGAGTGCATTGCTTCTGATCTCTGCCCACTAATACAGCACAGATCCTTTTGGCTGGAGAAATAGGGGCTTGGAAGGTGGAAGGGAGTGGCACTTGCTTAGCAGGATCTCTGTTGTATTGATGGGCAGAGATTACACTCTAAATCAGAATTTTAGCAAGTACCACCCTCCAAGCTCCCATTTCTCCAGCCAATTGGAATCCACCTGCACTTTTAAACCACAATGAAAGGAAAGAAGCTAGGTCCAGCTGTTGACCATGGCGAACATTTAAATGATGACCTTTCTTACAGAAAAACTTATCTTCTGTCCCTGTCCGCATATTTATTCCCCCGTCATACATCCTTAGCACCGGTCTCATTTCAGTGACGCAGAACGATTTATCCAAACAAAAATGATTAGTTATATATGGTATAAAATAATATCATTTTTCTCCAGAAAACAGTCAGCTGTGGGGTATCTACAGTGGTCAATATGTCTATGGACAATAGATAGTACTTCAATCTGATTGCCATCGATTGGCTCATGTAACACAGGGTAGTTACTTATGAAGATATTATGTAGGACCAGATCAAGAAGTATAAAGTCTGAGGTCCATGACATTTTTATGCTCTGGGTCTGCTAACTGCAGCCTGCAGTCTGTGACTGATTAAGATCACTGTGACTTTGTGTCACATCAGTTTTCCACCTTACATACACATTGCAGTTATAATAAATATACCTTCCTGCTCTGCAGTGGTGTGGTTTGCAGTCTTCCTGTGCTTGTCTTTGTGCTAACTTCCCCTTTTTCTTCAGCAGTCAACCCAGCTATTGATCGCAACCGCCTCCACCCAGAATATATATTTACACTGTATAATATGTTACTTGTGAAGGGAGTGGGGGGGTTTGACTACAAGTTTTGGCATGATTTGGAAATACTGTATCTTTTAGTTCGAAGGTTTTTGAAGGCCCATTAGAACCAGAAGACTTCATGCTCGAGCATGACCAGGGACATGACCTACATACACTGTATAGTGTACACAAGAGGTCTACAACTCCCAGCACGACCTGTTAACACTGTGTATTATGTGACCAATAGATACATTTGTAATATGTGACTGCTGAGCTACATGCATTACCATTATATACACTCTCTGTGTACAAACTACCATGTACAGAATGCTTGTGGGCAAGCAGCTACATATCTAAAGGATGGAAATCCTACAGCAAATTTATTCATACTGATTTTGTTCATAGACTTGAATGGGATGTTGCTCCTTCATCGGAGGAGGTACATACAGACCTGGGATGGCTGGAAAGGGGCTAGATAGGTTGCGCAGCTAAATGTATTGAGGGGGCTTGAGATTAGGACTAGGGAGATTTTGTAACAGCGCTGAACTTGTACTCTTAGATCTTTTGATACTTAAAAGGGTTCTAAGCCCTCTGGTTTTTTTGCCTATATCTACTGCTAGCAAGCTGCTAAAAATAGCTCATGTAAAGTGTAATTCCGCGCTACTGGATAATGCCACTAGAGGTCACTAAGCTGCTGCAACAATACACCAACGGTTCGAGCAATGATTTTATGGAAACTAGAGAGGGCTGAGGGACCCCAACCTAAAATATTAACACTTCTACAAATTTAAAAGGTGCAAACAGCAATCGGCCGACAAACAAACATTATCACACTGCTATCAGCACTCCCTTCTACATGTAAGAACTTTTTCAAATACATTTAAAGCATACGGTAAAGACAATATAAAAACAAATATATGTGGTTAATCTCTGCAAATCATGTACATTTCCCTATGCTTTATTCTTTTAGAGACCTTGCAAGTAAAAGAAAATAGCTGGTGATCTTCCACTCAGCTCCTAAGTCCTGTTATGGGCTGACGACACACAGTATTTTTGTGGACTGAGTGTTGTCAACCTTCCTAGTGTCTTTTGCAAACTATTTAACCCCTCCCACTCTCTGATCTCAACAACTAATCATTCAGTAGTCCATGAAAAACATAAGGAGGGCTAAACAGCCTCTTTGAGATGGCTGGGGAACTTTGCAGAGGATACATGACCGCTCTGAATTTCTGACACAATCAGCTTGTATATATATATTTTCACTTCTATAGATATAACAAAATGCTTCCAATGGTATAATAAACACACCAAAAGTGAGCAAATGCAAGAAGTTCAGTTTTAGGGTTTACATACACTTAAGGATTTTTAAAGGAGAACTATGAGGTGAGTGATTTTCACTCAACCTCATAGTTCGAGCCAACCTGTGACAATGAAACTGTCACTCGTCTGCTCAATAGATCGGGAAGTGAGCGAACTCATACCGTCGCTCGCTCACTTCTCGATCATGTCCCTGCAGAGAACCGTGACTGTCACGCACGGCTCCCTGTGGGGATTCCCCCCTCCCCTGTCCGATCCTCCAGTGCTGACTGGCGGAACAGGCGGGGGAGGGGGCGGGCACAGCTGGCTCTGCCTCTAGATAGGCAGAGCCTGCTGTCACCCACGCAACTGGGTGGATCCAGACAGTAATGTCGGGATCCGTGCCAGCTGCGGCGGTCCCAGTATACCGTGAGCTGTAGCTCGCAATATACTGAGCTTTGGGTCACAGGAGGACATAAAGTTTATATGCTAGTAAACATAAACACGCTAGTTTGCGTCCTCCCGTGACCCTTAGGAGAACTATGGGGAAAAACACTTACCCCATAGTTCTCCTTTTAATGAATACATACCTAAATTAAAGAGTGCTGCTTTACTTAGTTTGTGTTTATTTTGTGTTCATGCGTAGAGATATAGTTAAGTTGTTAGGATGAAAAAAAGACACATGTCCATCGAGTTCATATGCACTGAATAAATCAAAAGAATATTGAGACTTGTATATTCCCATTTGAGAGTTCAAAAGAAAAGTAATACAGTGTATACTACTGTATTCATATTACATTTGCCATTTTTATTTTCAGTTTTGGGACTTGCTTATGCCACACGAGAATTTGAAGTCCAGAATAACTAAACAGTGGGGCGATATTGGCTTTCAAGGTGATGATCCAAAAACAGATTTTCATGGCATGGGCATTCTGGGACTGACAAATTTACTGTAAGTGTATCACACAGTTGTCAAAGTGGTTTTATAAAACATCGTTATAGTTACTTGAAAGGGAACTATAGCCTTTAAATGTGTTGGTGTTTTTGTTTATATAAAATATAAATATATATATATTTGAATGAGATCAGTTTACAGTGCATCTTTCCTCCTCTCAAACCTAAAAATCACAAGTACATGCAGGTCTGCATGCTGGACTGTAAACACTTTCCATTCATTTGTCAAATATACAATATTTGGGTGTATCTACATTTACATTCCTCCACTACCTGCTCTCCCTGAGGCACTGGTGATGTAGCCAGTACCTCCCAGCTGCCCCCTGGGAAGGCTTCATCACCATTGCCTTCCAGGGCCTTCTTGTGAGCCAACTGCGAGGTCTCTCGAGATGTAGCGAAAACTCTCTTGGTCTTGGTAGAAAAGGCCAGTGAGGCAGCCCATGCGTAATGTCATACAGCGCATGGGTGAGATCTGGTGCAGGCGTCCATCGGTGGCACTTCCCAGAAAACTCATAAGAAGAAGCTGGCTACCGATGACGTTTATTTTTAAAATGGCAGCGCTTTTTTTTTTTTTTTTAAATGGTGGCACATTTTTTTTTAGGGGGGGTGGAGTGGATCAATGAAATGTGGTGACATTTATTGATGGTGGCAAATTGTTATAAGAGGGAGAGGTCCGTTTTAAAGTAAATAACTGTATTAGTTTATGTTAATATTTGTAAATTTTTTGTGTATAGGTGTACATGGAGACAGCTGCAGTATATTTGTTTGTTATATATATACTTGCTCTGCTTCCTGGTTGTGCATTATTGGAACCTCTGATCTTACGGAGAATCTACCAGACAGGGTCTGACTAAAAAAAACATAGACTCTGCAGTGTGAAGCCCACATTGCATATTGGTAGACAGAGATCATGTAATCTTGTCTGTTTTATGAGGATGCAGCTTTTTATTTATGGCAAGAAATACTTTTTTTTTTTAACTTCCAATAATATGATTTAGCAATGCTGGCATATACCTTTGATTCTGGGGAAGTGTGATTTTTGTTGATGGGTCATCTTGAAGGGATTATTTTTGAATAAGCTTATCTTAATGTTCATGGTTAAAATAAACTTTGTCAAGATATGTGTTTTGTTAAAAGCACATGTAAAGAAGAAAATGAGGGTTGGGATTAGCATAAATCTTATGAATGAATTTACTATTACTTTATACTATTACTATAAACTCTTTTACTTTCCTCTTTTAGTTGTTAAACAATTGTTTTGGGTTTTTTTGCAGGTATTTTAGCAGACATTATACAGAAGAATCCCGTGCAATTCTTTCTCATTCCAATCATCCAAAAATTGGGTAAGAATGTAATGTGGTATGGTGAACTGCATTCCTAGCAGGCTGATGTTTATCTGCGTGGTTTGAGTACTCTGTATCAAGGTAAAAGCCACTGAATCATAGGTTTAAACTGCTAATGCAGTCACAAGTCACCTAGTGCATCACCTAATGATATCACTAGATGGCAGTAGTAATCATCCATACTGTAATCTTGTATGAACATTTTTGAAGGTAATATTGTACATAAAATACATATATACAGTACTGTTGAAAAGTTAAGCACCTAATGAAAAAATACTGTAAAGTGAAGACGCTTTCAAAATAATGCAGTGAATAGTTTTTATGTATTAATTAGCAACCTACAAAGTGCATAAACAACAACTAAATCAAATCAATAATTGGTGTGTCAACCCTATGCCTTTAAAAGAGATGGATATACCATGGTCCTACTGGTTTCTGTCATGTCTGTGATGATGGTGCTAGTGAACATATTCTTGTAAACAGAAGCCACCATGATGTGTCTTCAGTCGCTTAAGTTATTCTTCCTTGACCAACAATAGCATTTTCTGTCCTCAACTTTGCCTGTTTCTTTGTGCTTTTACACAAGAACTTGGAGAGAATATGTGGAAACACGTGTCTCCTTTAAAATTTCTGTCTGTGAGAAACCTTCTTGACGCAGTAGCATCACAGTCAGGGGAGTTTAAAAAATGGCGTCGTTGACACATATCAGAAAAGTGTTTCAGATTTACAGGAATTGGGTCATCATTTGTGCCAAATTCATGTATAAGCAGCAATTTTACAATAACACCAAACTGTCTGAGTTTATTGATGGTATATGAGACAGGCACAGCACCAGAATGAAATATGGCACAAATAAGAACTACTTGAATTTGGTGTAGGAGTCAGTAGATATTCGGAAAATGGCATAGCATGCTTTAGAATTGGGCACAGACATTTCTTGGGCTGCATTAGCGCCAGAATTCTGGCGGAAACGCAATATTGAATTCCCCTCAGTGTGACTTGCTGCTAAGTCTTGGATTGTGTAAAGACATGTATGTATGTGTTCATCAATTTGTTAGTAGAGCCTGACTTCACCCAGTTTCATTCCTCCTACACAGCTGTTTCCGTTTGATTTCATGATTGTCTTTTACCCTACATGTTATCTTGTTGATCATTAGCACCTGCTTGGTATGATTTGTGTAATCATGCACTGGACCATATCCCTGCAGAGGATGGACACACTAAGGGGGGAATTTATCAAAACTGGAGCAAAGAGAATCTGGAGCGGTTGCCCATAATAACCAATCAGCATTTCTCTTCAGTTTGTGCAGTTAAGCTTTGGAAACGAAAGAGAGAATCTGGTTACTATGGACAACTGCTTCAGATTCTGTCTGCTCCAGTTTTGATAAATTCCCCGCCAAGTTTTGATTTCGTTTTTTTCTGTTTATGCATTTTGTAGCTTATTAAAGTAAAATCTAAACGTGTGTAAGTGTAATAGCTATATAGATATAGCTAGAGCTGCAGCTAACGATTATTTTCAAAATCGATTAGTTAGCCGATTATTAGGTTCGATTAATCGGATAAACAATAACATTTTAAAAAATGGCTCCAGTGATAGGACTACTAGTTTGTATTGAGATTGTAGTCCATCACAGGAGCAAGCTTGGAGCGGTGGAGCGGTGGAAGTAAAAAAGAAGATAGTGTGGTGTGCAATATAGTGAAATGGAAAGTGTAAAATTATATAGCAATGAATGCAGAATGTCACCGGCTAGAGGACTACAAAACCCAGCAAAAGCACATTATACAGCGCAATGCAGAATACCACCAGCTATAGAGGAATACAACAAATCCCAGCAATAGTACATAATAGCTGGCGGCATTCTGCATTGCGCTGTATAATGTACTATTGCTGGGTTTTGTAGTCCTCTATAGCTGGTGGTATTTAGCATTGTACCACTTTATAATGTATTATTGCTGGGATTTGTTGTACTCTTCTACAGCTGGTGGTATTGCGCTGTATAATGCAGTATTGCTGGGACTTGTAGTCCTCTATACAGCGCAATGCAGAATATCACCAGCTATAGAGTACAACAAATCCCAGCAATACATTATACATACAGTGTATAATGTAT